TATATATATATATATATATATATATATACAAGGAGACAATCAGCAGATAGGCTAGGAGATAGGCAATCAGTACACACACACAAGGAGATAATAGGGAGATAGGCAATCAGTAGACACACACAAAGGAGACAATCAGCAGATAGGCTAGGAGATAGGCAATCAGGAGATACATAAGGAGACAATAGGGAGATAGGCAATCAGGAGATACATAAGGACATAATAAGGAGATAGGCAATAAGGAGATACATAAGGAGACAATAAGGAGATAGGCAATCAGGAGACACACACAAGGAGACAATCAGCAGATAGGCAATCAGGAGACATACAAGGAGACAATAAGGAGATAGGCAATAAGGAGATACATAAGGAGATAATAAGGAGACAGGCAATAAGGAAATACACAAGGAGACAATCAGGAGATAAACAATCAGGAGATACACAAGGAGACAATCAGGAGATAGGCAATCAGTACACACACACACAAGGAGACAATCAGCAGACAATCAGCAGATAGGCAATCAGTACACACGCACAAGGAGACAATAGGGAGATAGGCAATCAGGAGATACACACAAGGAGACAATAAGGAGATAGGCAATCAGGAGATACATAAGGAGACAATAAGGAGATAGGCAATCAGGAGATACATAAGGAGATAATAAGGAGACAGGCAATAAGGAAATACACAAGGAGATAATAAGGAGACAGGCTAGGAGACAGGCAATAAGGAGATACACAAGGAAACAATTAGGAGACAATAAGGAGACAGGCAATAAGGAGATACACAAGGAGACAATAAGGAGACAGGGTAGGAGACAGGCAAGGAGGAGACACACAAGGAAACAATAAGGAGACAATAAGGAGACAGGCAATAAGGAGATACACAAGGAGACAATAAGGAGACAGGCAAGGAGGAGATGCACAAGGAAACAATAAGGAGACAGGAAATACACAAGGAAAGAATAAGGAGATAGGCAAGGAGGAGACAGGCAATAAGGAGACACTTAGTAAGGAGATATATGAATTCAATAGGAGACAATTCTCTATTAAGGAGACAAAAAGGAGACAGACAAAAAGGAGACACAAAAGGAGACAGACAAAAAGGAGACACAAATAAATAAAGGGGATATATATAAGGAGACACTTAATAAGGAGACACTATATAAGGAGACAATTATGTATATAGATATAGGGTAGAGAAGGATTGGCAACCAATAATATAACACAAAACAGCAACAAACAAGACACCAGCAGCAGCAACAGCAGCAGCAGCAACAGCAGCAGCAGCAACAGCAGCAGCAGCAACAGCAGCAGCAGCAACAGCAGCAGCAGCAACAGCAGCGGCAGCAACAGCAACCGCAATACCGACAGAAACAACAGCAGCAGCAACAGCAACAACCGCAACAACAGCAGCACGAGTAGAGACACCCCAAGACAGTCACTTTAAGAGCAACAAATGCAATAATAAAGCAGCAGCAGCAGCAGCAGCAGCAGCTGCTGCTGCTGCTGCATTTGCTGCTGCTGCTGTACCTTATGTGCTGCTCTAAGGTCTCCTCTCATCTCATCAATAGTGACGCCAATCTCTAAGCCTAGACGGCTGCCTGCTCCTTCTCCTGCTGCTGCTGCTGCTGCTGCTGCAGTCAGCAGCGCCTCTATTGCTTCCTGTAGCTCCTTAGGCTGTTGCTCCTGCCCCTGCTGTTGGTCCTGCCCCTGTTGCTGCTCCTGCCCCTGCTGCTGCTGCTGCTGCAGCTCCTTTGCTGCTGCTGCTGCTGCCTTTAGGCAACCTAAGAGGAAGGCAACCAAACTCTCATTTGTTGGATACTGCTCGAACATCGGCAAGTAACGCCTGAGACACAAACCCTAAACCCTAAACCCTAAACCCTAAACCCTAAACCCTAAACCCTAAACCCTAGGAGACAAATAAGTGATATAGGGAAGATAAAGGGACAAAAAAAAGGTAGAGGAGATAGGGGAGTCCGTACATGATAGTCTGCGTCCATATAGACAATGCCGTTTGCTGTTGCTGTTGCTGCTGTTGCTGCTGTTGCTGCTGTTGCTGTATAATTTTCTTAGTAATAAGATAAATATGCGCAAATGCTGAGTTATTATAAACATCCTTAAGAAGAAATTTATGTGTCTCCTCTAATTCATCACCAAGGGGTAAAGAAAAATATTCTAATAAAAATACCCTAATAAAAAAAAAGAGACAAAAAGGAGACAAAAAAGAGACAAAAAGGAGACAAAAAGGAGACACCTATATAAGGAGATAATTTATTATAAAAGAAAATAGTAAAGGAGACACACTCTATCTATATATATATACATATATTATAATAAAAATAAATAATAATAAAGGAGATAAAAGGAGACAAAAGGAGACAAAAGGAGATAAAAGGAGACAAAAGGACACAAAAGGAGACAAAAGGAGATAAAAGGAGATAAAAGGAGACAAAAGGAGATAAAAGGAGACAAAAGGAGATAAAAGGAGACAAAAGGAGATAAAAGGAAACAAAAGGAGATAAAAGGAGACAAAAGGAGATAAAAGGAGACAAAAGGAGAGAAAAGGAGATAAAAGGAGACAAAAGGAGACAAAAGGAGACAAAAGGAGACAAAAGGAGACAAAAGGAGACAAAAGGAGATAAAAGGAGAGAAAAGGAGACAAAAGGAGACAAAAGGAGATAAAAGGAGAGAAAAGGAGATAAAAGGAGATAAAAGGAGACACTTTATTATATAAGGAGATACCTTAGGAGAAGAAAGGAGACAATTTATTATATAAGGAGACACATGCAGACACATTAGAGG